CATCATTCCCGCCCCGAATTTCAAGGCTTCACTTTTGTGAAGCCGCGCTCTCTAGCATTCTCTAAATGTAAAAAGAAGCGTGGCCGCGCCGCCGGGCTGCTGCACGGGGCTGCAACGCTCTCAGGCATTCGCGGGATTATGAGAAGCTTCCGGCCCGGACTCTCTCTCCTTCGCCTCGCTCATTCCAGTTGCTCATTGTTGCACTGCCACGCCGAGTGTGACGACCTGACAACCTCGATCCGGCCGCTTAGCATGCGCCTCGATTACGTTGTCGGACGTGAAGCTGCACGTCGAGAAGACGGAGTAGGAGGACGACGCGTCACGTTAAAACCCGCGCGCGATGCTTCTCCCCCTTTTTTTTTTCTTTCCTCGGCTGCTGATGAGATGACTAATCGCGCGAACGAGGAGCGAGGAGCGCATCAGGTGTTTGTAACGAGTTTGTCGGAGAGGTGGGGGGGGGGGAGAGGAGGGAAATTGACTCACGTTACACCGCCGCCACCTCGCGCGATTAACGCGACAATGATTGCGTATCTTCGCGGCGCAAAAGACATGTGTCGATCGAGATTCTACGGACTTTTGACTTTGAATTTTTTTTAATACTGACACGCGTATGTTTCTCTTTTAATCGAAGAAATCGCGTTTTCAAGTTCTCTCCGGGAAAATGACGAGTCTCTCTCGACTTGTCACCGTTATCTCGTTTGATTTGATCATTCATTTTTTTTTTGTTATCGCGCAAAGACTGAGATTACGCGAAGGCCGGAAATTTTTTTTATTGTAATTTTCTTTATTGCCGATAACCATCTTGAATGCAATTTCTTTTGCCGCTTACCTATGTGTCGCTCATTAAACGCGTACGTGGTAAGAAAGCGTTTCTCAAATCCTATCTCTCCGCGCGTTCGGTAATTAGAATTATCTGCGAATTATCAAAGCTGAATATATTTCAAGCGTGAAGCGAATATTTTAATACTCTCTCTCTCTCTCTCTCTTTCTCTCTCTTTTGTAAAGTGCACTTTTATATCGATGTAAGACAATATATTTCTTTCTCCCTTCTTATTTATCGAGGTCGTATAACTCGTTTCGTAAGGAGCCAAGTTCCCCGTTTTTTAAGCAACTGTTTCGGAGAAAATTTATGACAAGCTAATAAGCTTACACGCGGTGATCACAGGTAGAGAATCGTAAATCTGTCAATTATTTTCTTCCGCAGCAGTGGGGAGGAAGAAGAAGAAGAAGTGTATTTTTTTTTATTTTCCGTCGTGGAATTTTGCGCGTTTCTCACTTTCCCGATCCGATTGGATCTGATGCAGATTCTCGAGAGAACGAGGAAGAAAGTCTCGTTTGCAAAAGCCAATCAAAGACAATGACGCGTCTCGCTTTCGACATATTCAACGTCATCACGTCGTTCCATTCTCTCTTCAACCATCTTAGAAAAGAAAACCAGTTCGCACGCGTTGTTTCCAGTCAGACATATTTTGTGAATTGTGCGAATGCCAATTCGGACATTTAGGAAATCGCGATGAGAAATCAACGCACGCTTTTGCAATCTCACGATTGCGCAGTTAGCATTTCGGTGTGTGGTCTTCAATAGGAATGTAAAGAAAGGATCGTTTTTTTTTTTTTTTTTAATGTGACAAACGTCTGCGAAGCATCTTACGTGTCAGGTCGCTTTTTTTCTTGTTTTTTTCTTTTGACGAAAATTCTTACGACACGCACAAAGCACACACACACACGCACAAAAGACTCTTCCGAATGTTCGTTCTTCCACTTTCTCGTTACGTGCTCTATTGAAACGCTATTCGTTCATACACGAACGATGACTCATAGCGAGGAAAATTCAACGACAGGTTATTCACTAACGGAGTAAGAATAGAAACGTGACTTTAACTAATACTTAGCTGACGTAGTAGACTACTATAGTAGTAGTCTCGGTAATTGCATAATTGCGCGCAACATAACATCTCGTAATTACACTAAACTTGGTGGAATATGAATGTTTCTCTGGAAAAAGTAGCGTTTGTGTGTGTGTGTGGAATTCGATTTGTCTTGCGAAAAGATCGTGTTTTCACATTAGAGCATATTAACCTTCCGCATAATGAGAATTTCAGTCCCCAGAGAGAAAAGTCCAATATTTTGCACTTTTATTTTGAAATTTTTATTTTTCTCGCAAAAAAATATTTAAAAATTTTTCAAAATGTTTTTCTTAGCCTACAACAGTAAGAAAATAGGTTTGAAGTCTCTAGTAAATCGAAGCGCGCGCGACAAGTTTTCAATATCAAAGAAACCGCAATTAAGTAACAACGTAAAGTATTTTATATTTTATTTTGTTTCTTTTTTTTTTCTAAAATGAAAACAATACTTTGCGTCGGTTTTGTTTTTATTAATAATTTCTCACCCTCTTCCGCGGGCATTGTTACGCGCGAGGCGTAAATTGCACAGCGCGACAATTTCGTGTCACACGTTCGACTTCTTCCACGTTCCAGTTGGCTGACGAATTTCCTCGCGCACCTCCTGACGAGAGCGTCATATGCGACACGGATATTTTCTTGCAGGAGAATCGCGTATTTCGGTTGCTTCCTCCTTCCTGGCCGCAACGGCTTCGCGAGGCATTCTCTCGCGGTAAGTAATCCCATCCAGACGCATATGGCGCGCGCGCGCAACCTCTGAACGGGTATAATTCTAGATTGCCGGCTCTGCTCTGCTTTTTGACTGCTTTGTAATTGACGTTTCAACGAGCGCTCTCGCAGAATTAAATCCGACAGACAGTCACGCAAGTGTGTCGATCTTAATTCCGCGAGATGTGAAAAAGACAGAAGCGAGTTTGTGTCTTTGAAAACAAGGAGGACGCGAGGGCTACTTCGTCTTGTCGTCAGAGCGATATTTCGACAAATTTTATAGGAGCCACGAGAGCGAAACGATCCGTTCTCGCGACGTGCGCGAAAAAAAGGGTCGAACGGTCGCAATAATTCTCGACATGAAAGCAGAAAGCTGGACGCTGGCTTTTCTCAACCTTTTCGCCTGTTTCGGCGAACCCTTCATCACGTCTCCCGCGTTTTATATTTAGACCGTATCTCTCTCTCTCTTATCCCGGTCGCGCGTATTTTTGGGATCCTTTATGGGAGCGTGAAGATAAATGTGACTGATAAAAACAAAAAAAAAAAACAAAAAATAGAAGTCGGTAGGTTGTTCGCGCGGTTGTTCTTTGTTAACATTAATTAAAAGAATGAGGATAATCTCATGTTTGCTCGCGAAGTTCATGGCTCTTTTTATTAATTGGCAAAAACTAGTTAGCAGTAGCTTATTAAGCAAAATGTTTTTATTATAAAACTGTTCTTTGTGAGATTAATTCATCTAAGAAGTTAATTCGCAAGATACTCGTTACAAACGTAGGCGGAAGATTCTTAAAACAAATTGGCGCCCGAAAACATATACAGCTCTCTCATCTAATTGGCAATTAGTATCTCGTCACTCGTAAGAAATCGTGGCAATATTTATGGAAACGTTCGACCGCGATCATTGTTGCCTACTCGCGTGGATTTCACGCGCAGAAATCGTTCGCACGCCCGAGACCTTAATAATGGAAAATTGGTTTGCTTTGCGAAAAACGCGCGGCGAGCGAACATCGCCCGCCGCGTTCGCAATTGTTTCCACGCGCTTGCTCCAGATATTTCTGAATCTCGATCAGAAGTTAGGATCTTGATCCTAAACTAAAGAGGTATAAAACGTGGAAACGCACACCGCGACTTTGAACTTCGTTGTAGGTACGTGTCACACGACAATCGCGCGCGAATCAACATCCTTTCGGACGTTATATACGTTGCGTTTGCAAGTAAGTAACGCGAAAAGTTGTGCGATTCTCGTATATCACGCGGCGATCTGAATTTCATCTCGAGCGTCCGCGAAATGAAATGTCAACGCGAACATTTTGATAAAGGCGCCGTGAGAAAAAAATAGACGAGTCACCAACAACGCGCGTCTCGAAACAACTGGAGACTTGTTGGTGAAGTCTTGAAAACGCGCGTTCCCGCGACGGGGAACACGGGGGAGTGGCGGCGGGATATGTATGTGCGGAGAGAAATCGATAGTCACGAACGCGCAGGACGTCCGGTGCGCGCGATAATATCGATACGTAATTTTTTTTTTTTCTGCAACCGCGGGAGACTCGCTAACGAGAACTCGCACGCCCGGCGCGATATACTAACGAGGAAAGGAAAGCGAACGCGTGTTTCGCGCGCGCAAATTTATTCCGACGTGAAAGAAGCGCCACGCCGCGCCGAGTAGATTCCTTATCTAGAGAGTAGATTTCCAACCTTGTTGGAAGCGCCTCGCGCATCTCGTCTCGCTGCGCGCACACAGCAGCCGGAATATCTCTGCTGCTCTCTTGTCGGGACGGTCGCACCTGTGTCGCACTCCGAGAAATCCGCTCTCGGAAGAGAGTTCGCGATTTACCGCCGCTTGTTGTTGTAACGCGCGGACCAACATCACGGGACCAAATCGTATCTCGAGATATCTTGCGCGTCTCCGCATTCGCGACAATCCCTTTATATAAATGTAAGCAAGATAAAAGAACGGAGAAGAGGAAGAAGTTAAAGAGTGTTCGGAAGAGTTAACATTTAAAAGAAATAATTTTCCAATTAAATTTAAGTTAATTAGAACAATCTTCTGTTTTTTTAATCCGCGTGTGTTTTATAATCGCGTCAGCGACGCGTATCTTTCTTCTTGGTTGCGAACTCTGTTTCGACTCTTTTTTATATTCTTCCAATGTTCGAATTTTGACATTCGTACGCTCGCGTTCGTCGAGAAACGTTGTACACAACGTGTATTACAAGCGTCTACATTTCTACGTGCGTGTATAACTTCCTGTGGTTACGCATGCTCGAAGTCAGGTATTTATAGTGGCGGCGGCGGCGGCGGCGGCGGCTTCTGCCGCCTGTGTGCGCGAAGACCGGAAACCGGTCGATTATATTTAGAGAAAGACCGATCGTGGAATAATAATTTCGCTTGTATGTTGTTGAGCCGCCGTCCGATTGCGAAATGAATGCGATTCTCTTTCTCTCAAGCGAGATCCCCCTCATTCACGACACGTGCCACTGACGGACGCATTAATATGATGATTACATCAATGTATATAAGTATATACAATCATTTGGAAAAAGGATCTCGCGCGCGTAATTTTTTTCAGCTCGTGAAATATTCTCCATCGACGTTCTAACTCGCGGAATTAAATTTTTTTTAAAAAAAACTTAAACAAGCAACAACTTCGCTTGTAAAGAAGACGCGTTGGAAAAAGCGAGAAGCGCGTTTTGCAGCTATCGAATAATAGTTGACAGACAAATTGCAATCGGCGAGTGTACATCTGTGCGCGCAAAGCCGGCAGTTAACCAGATCGTTTTTACGCAATATCGTCCGCCGAGATGATTTCTCGTTACCTTAGCTCGTAAAATCACGTCCAACCGCAGTCAATGCACCTTCTCATCAGTCGGGCGCCCCGTAATGAGCGCAGGTATATGTATACGACGCAGCATGACGAGCGGGGAAAATAGAAGAAGAATCGGATAAAGGGAAGGAGAAGGCACGCGGAGAGAGAGAGAGAGAGAGAAAGAGAGAGAGAAAAAAAGGAGGGAGAGAAAAGCAGGAAAAGGAAGGAAGAGACGTGCACGCGTGTACGCGCGCGCGCACGCTCTTTAATTGACTCAGAGATATGCACCCCATCCATAATGCATCCGGAGCTTCTAAACGACCCTAATCGCGCTGAAGAATGCCAAGGTGAGGCCTCCAGCTGCTCTCAAGGCCTTCGCGCATGACTGTTTCTCTCCACTGGGAACTGTATCGCGCCTTCTGTACGTGCCTTCTTCCCCGATGATAGCGGCGCGAAGAGATCTCGCATAAGCCGATGCATAATGCGTTTTTGCGGACTCGTTGCAGCGCCGATATCGGGAGTTGCATCCGAGAGAATCGCTCACGCGAAACGATCGCACGTCTTCCACCCTTCTCTCCCTTCTTCCCCTCCCCCTCCACCTTCTCTCTCTCTCTCTCTCTCTTTCTCTTTCTTTCTCTTTCTCTCTGTTGTCTCAAGTTTCTTAACTCCGGATGAGATGATGCGCCGATTTCTGCTCCGACACGAGAAGCTGCGAAGGAAAACGAGTTCGAAAAGAAATTCGCGTGAACGATTCCACCTTTGGCAGTTTTTTGATCGTAAAGAAACACCAACAGCGAGTTTTTTGTGTTTTATTTTACAACACAGAGATTGAATTATACGATCGATGCGAAAAAAAAAAAAAAAAAAAATCTGAAGGAAATTTGTGGACGAGAGAAAAAATATCGCGAAATATCCCGTGCAACTATATACTTTTGTTTTACCTCCGTCACGGATTCTGTGTAAGATCGTCGTCGATGAGTCGTTTTCTCGCGTATTCCTTTTTCTTCCCATTTCGCTTCCCAAGTTGATCATGGTCTTTTAGGTTGACCGACTTCCGGCGAGAGGCTTCTTCGTCCGGCTGAAAGGCTCGCGGGAAGATTTTTGTGGTGCGGCTCTCGTTCTTTCTCTCTCTCTCTCTCTCTCTCTCTCTCTATCTTTCCCTTTGACGGTACGTCCGCGATGTCCCACAGTGTCATCTGAAATTTAAACTTTATTGTCCGACGTCGGAAGCGTCTCATCCTCGTCTTTCTGCTTTGTAGCGGCCGAAGCAATTGTGAGAAATCGATTCTTCCTGTCGCGTTTCCGTTTTTTCTTTTTTGTTTTTACTTTATTGCGCAAGAGTACGGCTTTTATCTTTAATGCGTGTGTCGATAATGTTTCGCGATAAGATTTCTCTACAATCATCGACGATGTTTGCAACGCGTTTGAAAAACTTAACTTTTTCATCCGACGATATTGGAACAAGCAAGAAAAATTCCGCTCCGATTCCACGTATTTGCACGACTCGCCGATACACAAATCACGATTCGGAATGCAACAAAAATCGGCTTCGATTTTCCCCCAGGGCCGGATAATCGTCTCAGGAGGGGATACGATCAGCAGCCCCCGATCGGTTCGTGGAAACGCAAACCGTCTTAATACCTGTGCTTTGTCCCGCGGAAGCTCTTAATTCTGGATCCCGTCAGAGGCGATCGGTAATTACAAGGAAGGAACCGGGGTAGGTGGAGATGGGGAAAAAGTTGTGTAAAGAGGGAATCAGGCATCTGCCAACGGTTGCCTCGTATTAACGATGATGAGCCATCCAGAGAGAAGAGCCGGCAGGCCATCCAGGCATAACACGAGAATTTTTAACCTTTCTCCGAGGAGGCTTTTGCAAAACCTCAAGCACGCTTACAACAATTAGTTACGTCGTGACGTGCAATTAGAGCGATGCAGATTTTATTTGCATTCATTAACATAGTGACACAAAAATTGTCCTTTAAATTCTATTCTATACAGCTTCTCTCTCATTGTTTCTTTTTCTGAGTTACATTTGTTTAAGAGTGTTACCGTTGACTATAGAAAAATGTTTTTTAATGTTGTATCGAGAATCGCATTTTACACAAATACAAATTAGAAGATATGTATATAACAATAAGTATAGAAATAGAAAAATATATAACAAAGTCTGTTTCGAGCTTTTAATGGATCTTAAAATTTATTTAGAGACAAAATGCAAATAAAATTAAATAAAATTTAACATTTAACAAATGACAAACGTTTATATATATATATTATATATTATATATATATATATATATATATATGTATATAGTATCCTATCTACAATTTTCTTTATTTAATGAAGTAATTATTTCGAGAACTCGAAACTTTATTACTAAGTAATGAAGCAAAATTTACGAGTAGATAAAATTTATTGTTAAAAAAAATCATTTACTTTTTTTCTACGTATATATTATGGCTTATTTAAGGAGATAATTATCGAAAAAAGAATGATAAACGAGCTTCTTTCGGTGGACGCCGAGAAGCATGTTGGTTTCTTCGAGCCATATGGCGTGCAAAGCCCGACTCGATCCTAGAGAACGAAACCTGATGAGGTTGCCGCCGAGAGAGATCGGGAAAGGTCACTTTTTGCAAGCTCGCCGACCTCGAAAAACGCGGCTTCGCAAACGGCGATGAATGGGGACGTTGGTGGACCACCGGATGTGAATCGCGGCGCGATTCCCTTGATACACAAGAGAGAGAAAGAGAGAGAAAGAGAGAAAGAGAGAGAGAGGACGACTTATCGCACGTCTCAAAAAATTTTTAACGGCCGGGCGATGTTTTGCGATACAGTTCAGTGAGTCTTCAAATAGGAACAACGTGGTTAAAGGCAGCAACGCGGCAAAGAAACACGTTTATTCGCCACTGTAATGGGAATTTTTCTCAATTACGTTTTTTTAGCGTGTCGGAGATAGCATTTGATTGTACTGCGGATTTGATTTCAAAATTGCAAATTACATTGGATAAATTATTTATGCGGTAAATTATATTTGATTTGTAATAAAAACTTTATATAACGAAATGAATCTTAATTTAATTTTTTTTTAAACTTTTTCAATGTCTCTGCAACGATAAAAGTAGATACATTATTTCGATATTGTTTTCGAAGTGATTAATTTTTCTAATTATCACTCGCAAAATCACAATCGTTGAAAAGGAAATTACCGTCAGGTTTTTACATGAATTTTTACGTTCGGCTGATATAATTAACAAGTTATTCCGTCAGATTCGCAACGACGAATTGCACATCTCGCGCGTAACAGGATTTCTTTCGCGCACAGCGGATACTCAGTCATTGATCAGGACGAAACAATAGGTTCATTCTTTTCCGCGCGTTGCCTCAGTTTTCACCTCGTAGATCGTCTTCAGAAAGCGTAGAGCCGCGCTCGCCATGCCTCGCTGCCGTTTGAATTTTCTGTAATAGTTACTCAATAAACAAGAACAATTGCTTTTTTCAATTAATGGACTATAGTTTTTTATTAATTGTTTTCATTGTCGATATTGTTCGGTGAAATCGTACGCATTTTAATTCAATATATGCAAATAAAGAATAAATAAAATAAATGTTTTAACAAATAAAATAATAATAGCAGATAAGAATATTGTTTCTCTTTAATTCGAGCCGCTTGTTTCATTTAAAACGCTCATTTAAGTCTCATAAAGCGAGCTCCGTACTTGCAAATTATGCGAGCAATTATGCAAATATTGCTACGCTAATAAATCTCGAATTTACGGTATCGCGATAATTATGAAATCGAGTCAAGTATCGCTCGCTCTCCCGCGGTTTTCTTTTCTTTTTTTTTTTTTGGTTTTACAACAAGAGAATATTATGTTTCTCACTGGCCGGAAACGCCGAGGGAGTCGTTCGATTCTTCGCGCACGTCGCGTCGATGACGAAACAAATCGTCACGCATCAAGCTGACTGATATAATGACGTGGCGGAAAGAACTATTCGTGGGAGATTAATCAACTTCTTCATCACAACGGATTTGTTTGCTTTTTCAAAGTGTGTGCGTATCTTATTAACTCGATTAACATATTATTATCACTTTGAAACAATCGCGCGTTGTAGCAAATTATATAAATAATTGTCGTCTCTCTCGAAGAAATAGCGACTGAGAATGCGAGAAGAAACTGTGAGAGAGAAATTAAGATACACACCTATCTCGCAAAAGGAAACAAAAATCTACAAGCTCGTGCAAGAGATAAGATTTACATTCGAGAAATTCACAATCATAGGATGTGTAATTAAAATAATTTTTAATAAATTAATAAAATATACCCCGTGTCATTTCGTCATCCGAAGGTCGTCGACCGCTCGGAATTCGCATTGGGTAACAGGAAACGAGAAACGATCGAGGAAAAAGACCAGAACGAAATCGGTACAATTAAACGGCGCAATTGCGCGCAATCTCCTCCTCGAGGAATTCCCGGTGCGTTATCATACGTCTCCCCCTTCCCTCCCCGGTCGGCGTTGATTGTCGATGAGCGTGTAAAAAACTTGATGAGGGGAGGAGGACGGAAGGGGGGCAGAGGGGAAGGGGAAGCAATTACAAAGAAAACAGCGTGATCGCGGCCGGAACAAGATCTCGGATTGTTAATGGCTCTCTTCCGCCTCCCGAAGGCTCGCGCGAGTAGGTGAGGAATGGCGGCGAGCGCGCGAGGCAGAAACTGAAGTTCGCTCGCGGCGCGCGTGGAAGAGACCTTTTTCTCTCTTTCGCTCTTTCGTCTTCCGACTGTTTTTTTTTTTCTACAATACCACACGGGAGCTTAGCTTCGCTCTTTAAAAGAGCTCTTCGATCTGATGTCCGGATAAGATGACGACCGAGACTCGCTTTCGCGGAAACACGGTGTAAAAACGATTGCGCGGCTTGTCTGAACTCCCGTCTCGGTGTTTGCAATCGCGGCCCTATCTAGCATCGCGCTCTTGGCCATGCAATTTTCACATTGTACCGTTGATGTTTTTCGCAACGCGAAATCCATCAAATCTCGGGATTTAAAGGAAATGTCGTTTTCTTTTCAAGCGAAACATTTTTAGCTTCGAATTTGCGAACAGAAAAAAATCTCTCTTCTTAGGAAAATAAATTTTTTTTTTCGTTGTTTTTTTTTTTCTAAAAACGAAAGAAGAAAGAACTCGTGCGCACAATTAAAAGGTCTTTAAACTCGGCGACGCGACGCGTCCGTCTTTTCTGAGTGAGGAAAGAAAGCGAGATAAGAGCGAGATTACGTTTCTCATGGCTCGATAAATAGAGAACGAGAAAGGCGAGGCATCGCCGTCGCCGGCCGCCACCGGAAACGCTCGTTTTCCAGCGAAGCTAGCAAATATCTGAGCGCGAGTCGCGCGCGCGCGATCCGCGTGGATGTATACACACAAGAGTGTCGGCGCGTTCTCTCGGGGGGCCCGCGTCAGGTCGGCGCTCCCTTAAGTAAGGGCGCTGAGATATAGCGTGACGAAGGCGCTTCGGTACGTAATCGACCCGTGTGTGGTTTTAAGCAGATAATAGCGCCATTACGAGTTTGTTACACTGTTTACGCATTTGCGCTCACCTCAAGAGAGCGGCGAAGAAAGAGGGTTGGTGAGAGGAGGGGCGTGCGCGAATCTCTCGTGAGAATTCTCACCGTAATTCTTCCTGTTACTACTCCACCGTGTCTGTTCAACTGTGTGTTGCCGTACTACAGTCTGTGCACCGGTACCGGTCTCAAGTCGCGTGTCACGTGTGTGTCTCGCGGGACTTCCTATGTAATTCTCGGCAGAGAAGAAAGTAATTTTGACAGATGAAATATATTGTCATTTAAATAATTGTAATATATTGTAAAATTTATATATATATATATATATGTATATATATATGTATTACAATTATATTATATATTATAATTTAGATTTTAATATATTTATACGTATATATATTGTATATACAGGGTGTCCCAGAATAGCCGTACAATCTCTCGTAGGCAGATAGAAGGAATAAAACTGAGTCGAAAAGTCTTGAACCATTTTTTTCTATTATTTATAATAAAGGAGTAATTATTGAGTAAAGCGGGCCAATCAGCGCAGACCTTTAGTCACGCGCACGTCAGTGAGCCGCGCGCCTGGTGTTTGTGAGCGCTCACTGACGTGCGCCTGGCTAAAGATCGGCGCTGATTGGCCTGATTTACTCAATAATTACTCCTTTATTATAAATAATAGAAAAAAATGGTTCAGGACTTTTCGACTCAGTTTTATTCCTTCTATCTGCCTACGAGAGATTGTACGGCTATTCTGGGACACCCTGTATATATATTTATACGTAATATATATAATATATATAATATATTTTTTATAATTACATAATTGATTTTTATATTACGTCAAATTAAATTTATATGTAATAAAGTTACATATATATATATATATATATATATTTGATATTTAAAAATTTTACAAGTTACGCAAATTGAAATCTAAAAATCTGAATTGTACAATTAAACATTTGCCGATTAGCTGTCTCTTGAGAAACAATAATTACACATTGACGTAAAGATTGTTAGCGCAACTGGAGAAAATCGAATATAAAAACGCGCGATTGAAAGGAAGATTTTTGCCGCGCTGAGCATCGACAGACGGACGAACGTCTGTGGCATACGCGCGTCAGTGCATTCATATCGTCGGTGCATTCATATCGTCAGTGCATTCATCTGCCATTTATCGACGAGAATCGAACGCGATGAATAAGAAATAATTTATTTAACAACTACGAGCCACGCGCAGCGCATCCAGCTGCGCAGCCATTATCGTATCCAAGGACTCGTTTATACATCGCAGAAGAGGTAGCAACTTCTGCGTGCCGTTCTGGTCACGCAAGGCGAAACGATACGACGACAACGACGACAAAGACGTCGCGTGGATGAGCCTTGGACGACTCGCGAGCGCAGAAGAAGAGATTTATAATTCAGATTGCTCAGAACCGCTCAGAATCGCACAAGTCGATATCAAGAAAAAATTTCCAAAGTCATCGATAAAATATTTAGAAAAAAGTTTTACATGGGAACAATTTTGGACAAAATTTAAAAAATAAATATTTAGCGAAAATGTCAAAAAAAAAAAAAACGTCGCTCTTTAATGTGAAAAAATCCACACAGACGTACCTGTTTGTTGCGAAAAATTCCCGAGTGTGAAAAAAATAAAAATGCTTTCAAAAAACATCATAAATATGGTTTTTTATCGCACGAAACATTGTTCGGAGATGCGAACGCTGTGCGTCCACGCGAATGCGTGTTGACACACGGATTGAGCTTGTTGTTGTCACACAATTCATTGGATTTCGATACGCAATCCGTGCATGCGATCAAGATCCCCCTTTCGAGCGACGAATCTCTCGGTTCCTCTCTCGTTCGCTCCAACTCTCGATTTAGTTTTGCTCGCATATTGCAGTTTATGTTCGGAGGGTTATGCCTCTCTATCAGCCCGGTATCGGTTTACTCGGGCCGGCTTTCCATGTAAACCAGACAGGCGACGCAGAAAAGAATCCTTTTGTATAACTAAAGCGCGGATCACAAGCGTACAGAATGTTTCGAAAATTTCCTCGACAGAGTCAAGATAAAACGCGGAAAAAAAAAAATTAATTATACAATCCGCAAAAAATATCAAATGAAATTGTTAATTGTCAAAAATTGTATTTTTTATCGAAGAAATCGAATTTCGAGATATTTTATATCTCTGTACCACACGCACCTACATAACTACTTTATCTCGCGAGGCTCTGCGATATTCCGGTCTCATCAGCGGCTCAGGTGACCAACACGAGAGGCTGGTAGATCTCTTTAGCATTCCTTCTCGACGATAACCGCAAGTCGAGATGACACACGCAAACGCGAGGGGATCCTCCCCTCTGGGCGACTCCGATTATTCATACCATCTTTTTCTTCTTCTTCTTCTTCTTCTTCTTCTTCTTCTCTCTTTCTCCTCTTTTTCTCTCGCACTCCGTGTTTTCCTACGAATTATATTTCGAACGCACACGGGCGTGCTTGAATTACATACGCACGCGTGAATTATCTTCCAACTCACGCTGCAGATCCTTTGATCCTTCTCAAAAAGGACTGCTCGCGCGAAAACCAGTTACAAGCGAGTTTACGATTTTTTACGCGATCGGGCAAATATTCCACACACACACACACACACACATGCACACGCTACCACACAGAGGTTTGTAAAAAGTTCTCTCATTGTCAGTCACGTACATCGTCGTGTGATCAGATCAAAAATGGCAAAAACAAAAAACTTGCGTGATCCTTTTTCTGATGTGTTACACTTTGCATAAAAAAAAAAAAATAATAATACGGCGGGTTTGATAACCAATCAAGACGTTCGCTCGTCGCGCGAACGTTTCCCAGGAATTTTCAGGTGTCTCGGCAAGACACACACTCGGCGCGCGCTGGCTCGTCGTCGCCGGTGATTAGTAACTGGACTCGCGTATTTTCTTAAGTAAACGAGGCGTGCAGGACCCGCCATTTAAACAAGCCGCGAATCACCGGTAGTGATCTTGCTGCGCGGTACGTAACCTCGTATACATACCTCGCTCGCTTATCCCGTGGCATCTAGGCGCAGCCCGGAGGAGAATAGTGTAGTGGTCTCGGATGACCAACACAAACACGAGACTCGACGCATTCTTATATATACACAGATACCGCGATAACACCGCTCCCGGAGTACTGATGTCACCCGAAGAGAATTGCCGGCCGACTTTTCCTTCCTCTCGCGAGACAATCCGCTCTGATAAGAGATCTCGCGAGACATAACAAAAAACCTGTAGCACTCGCACTTGTCGAATCGCGCGTTTTTATTTATTGTTCTTAATACAAGCGCGCGCGCGCGGCCATTATTCCGGCAAATTATGTTTTTATTGTGCGTACGTGTAATTCTCGTTCGCTCTTGTGTTCGGCTCGAAACGACGAGTCATACTCGTCGTGCAATAGCACGTAACAAAAGAATGACTGCGCGTTCCGTAATTGCGCGTTCTTGAGAAAAGAATTTTATTCAGAATTTATTTATTTACTAATTACACACGTGATACGGGAGATTGAGAATTTTAATTGCTTATTCAGCTTGTTGTTGCAAGACGTATGAGAAGTACAAGATCAACACGATTGTTGTTTCGTTCAAGAGCAAACTCTCTCGATAGTTTAATCTTCCTCCCTTTCTCTCCCCTCGTTATTATGTGTATACACATTGTATGCATCGCATGGAAAATTTATCCAGGATTGTATTGTCGGATGGATATTTAATCTCGTGGGGGGGGGGGGGATTTAACGAATGATAATCCAGTTCAAAAAAAAAAAAACAATACTTGTTATAAAAATAAAAATCGTAAGATCCATTACGATCATCTCGTTGTGTGTGTGTGTGTGTGTGTGTTGCACAAAAGATGAACACGTTTCTCGCGAATCGGTGCCGGGAGTGTGCAAACGAAATTACGGCTGGTCCTCTTCGCGACGAGAGAAGAGCTCTCGTGTTCTCGAAATATAGCTGATCAACGAGCGCGGTCGTTGGTTAGACAAACAGAAACAGGTATGTGGGAGGAGATGCTTTGGGGGTGAGAGCCGAAACAGGAAGAAGACGAAAAAGAAGAAGAAGAAGAAGAAGAGAAAGACGAGGAGGAGGAGCATAACGCTCGACCTGGCTCGCTCGCTCTGCTCGTCGCGCGCGCATTATATACGACTTAACTCGGTGGTCTCGGGTTCCTGAGAACCGAACCCACGAGAGAGAGAGGTCTCATAACTCCGGAACTCGGTGCCGCACCGCGTGCCACACCTTTCGCACGGCTTTGAAGTCCCCAAGCCAGCGCGCGCGGAGTCCCCGGTGTCTGCGGCCCCGAAGAAAGACCGAGAGTCCGCGCGCCTTCTTCTCGTCTCCGGAAGAACGGAGAGTGCAATTACGTCGCGTAACCGGCGCTAAGGATTTATCGGAGCTTTGTACACGTCGCCCTGTTGCGCTGTTTTTCCTTTTCGCTTTTTCTTTCGCTCGTTTAGATAACGGCGCGATATGCGGGAGAGGAGACCGCGATCTTTGCTCGATCCTCTCGATTGCGAATAATTCATTTCAGTTCCTTGGTGCAAATATTAAATGTTTTTTTTTATCGCAAATTTTACTACAAAAACCGAAAAAAAAACAAAAAAAAAAAAGAAAGTAATTAAATTGAGTAGTTAATGAAATTGAGAGATTTACGTGATGATTGAGACGATTAGGATTATGAGTAAATATACGTGCAAGTGTTTTCCCCGCGCGCAACTTTCTCCAACGTGACTGTTAGCGTATTATCGTTCTGAGGCTTTCGATGATTACGCGTGTTTGAAATGATAGACCGGTCGGTCGGCGATAAATTATTGTGAGGTTGTGTGATAGCGGCGAGACCAACATGCACATACATAGTAATACCGTACCGCACACACCTGGCGTTTTGCGCGAACCGTTATTGAACAATATTAGAACCGCGCAACGGTGCACTCGATTTATACCGAGCCACACCTTTCGCACGGTTTTGAAGTCTGACCTCTCGATCTAAATGGAAAGTGCAAGCGATCTTCTGTCAGATCTTGCGGGCAATTTGGCGAGACTTCTCTCTCTCTCTCTCTCTTTCTCGCGAGTCTCTAAGATCGAGATAGGAGCCTGGACGTCGAGTTAAACGAGAGAAAACATCATACTGTCGATTCGCGCGCAAAGGTGAGATTCAACGATCGCCGACGATGTTTCACAACCGATACCGCCGCTCGCGGCCCCGTATAGATTTCCATTACGCGAGAGGTTTAAGGTCGTCGATATTATCGTTTGATTCATGACGAACGATCGACTCCGCGTCAATCTTCGCGCGGAATCGATCTTGATCGCGACCGATTTCGAAACACCGGGAAGAATCTTACGTTACGATAATTTCCCTGGGGGGGCTGATAATTATTCTTCAATTCTGTCGATCTTTAACTCTCGAATGTGCATTACATAATATCTCTGCAAAGATGTAACGAGAATAAATAGAATATTGGCTCTCTCCTTAAAATCCTCACCATAGAAAAAGCCGTGAAAATTGGCAGTTTCACGAGTGACTTCTTTTTTATAAAGTCTCTCTTTTTTGAAAAGTATAAATATAATTGTTTGTGCGCATATTTTTAAAAACTCAAATTACGCAGAAAATCCACTTTTTCTTCTTTTTAGAAGAATCGAGAGAATCGTCTTGAAGGGTGAAAAGGACGAAGACGCGAGAGACCGTTCTTGAAATAAAATGCATGGTTGCGTCTTCTCCCCCCTCCCCTCTCTCTCTCTCTCTAGACACAAGCCTCTAATTTCCAGAGCGATCATTCGGCGTACGTATCGAGCCTCTTGCATTCATTAAGGATTCACCAGGAGGTACGGACCCTCCTGGACGCGCGAACACCTGGTATCTCCTCGCAAGATGGAATTCAAATCGTCCGGCGAAGAGAAGAAACAGGCGCGGGGAATGATCGGAGGAAATCTCGAGTAATCACGGAGTGTAGTGATGAAGGGCGCAAGAAAAAGGGAATGGAATTGAAGGGAGCAATGCGGGGGGTGGGGTGGAGGGGGATTCGTTTCGTTTTCTTCGCGATCGAAACGATCTCACTTGTAATTGAAAACAAAACAAAAAAAAAGTTTCTGGCCACACCGCGATGATGAACATTTGTTTGACTCGCTCGCTTTTGCAGATTGAAAAAAAAAAAAAAAAAAAAAAACGAAACGTACTCGGTGAGTAATTGCGAATAGTAGAAAACTATTAAAAACTCGTGTCCGCGCGTTAAACACGCCAAACGTCGATCGACGAACATCCGAGTCGAAAAGAAAATCCCCGTGAAATCGCATTTGCACTTCGATCTTATCTTATCTTCGCGATTTCAATTTCTCTTAAGAAAATTGCAATTAAATTCAATATATAATTTGTTACCGACCCTCGCTGATCAACGATCGCGCGGGAAAGTGGATTTTCATTATCCGTAATTATATGGAGATGTGCGCACATATATAGTAGCGTTGGTTTCCTTTTAACTATATATTTTATTAAAGCACACACGTTTATCAAGCGTCGTTATAGTTAGAGAACGACCAATGCGTGACGCACGCTAATTACGATGTGCGCGCGGATTTGACGGTAAGATTAAGTGTATCTCCGTAAAGAAAATAGTATATATAGGATGTCGTGAATCACCACTATCTGTCGATAATTCCGATGGATCGAAGAAACTTGGGTAAGATACGAGGGAAGAAAACAAACGACGCGTTCGCGAGAGACGAAGTGGAAGGTAGAACGTGAAGGTTACGTAAAGAGGAGCAGTTGATCGTCCTTTTATGTAGATGAAGGAGAACGATAAGATAATATATAAGGATATACGCGAACGCGCGCGTACGAGAAAGAATGAGAGAAACGCGCTCCTCCTACCGGAACCAAAAAGTTCTCCGGAGTAATTGCGCCGTCACATGGTACATACGTACGTACGTACTTACGTCGTTGCGCCCATCGGCGGTTGCGCGCGAGGAATGCAACTCCGTGGAACTCTCGTCGTCCGACGAATACATACAAATATATACGTGTGTAATGCACGTATCTTGGAACATGCGAAGACAAGCGAATACGATCGAGATTGCGCGCACCGATTCTCTCGCGCCTTTCTGTCATATTGATGACGCCCATTAAAGCGGAATTACGCTTCGAAATGAATTAACGTTACATACGCGCGCCGCCGCCGCCGCCGGCGCGTATCAATCGTTGGATGTGTCTGGTATATACTTCTCGGACATTTTTCGGAACGCGACAATTTTTTCAGGCACGAAAAAAAAATATGCTCGACTCGCATCAACTTTTAATTTTAACGCGCTGATAGTTTTTAGTAATTAAATAACAATTTTTATCATGTTTTGGATAATAAGTTAATATAAATACAAAAATATGTGTGATGTAACAAAAATGCATTTTTGCAAAAATATGCAATATATTCTCAAGAATGTGTAGCCGAGGACATTTGTCAAATTTTTCATTAGAACCGTAAAGCTCATAAAAACGTTTCGTTTGTTTATTTTCTCAAGAGATTTAATATCACGAGAACCAACGATATAATAAAACAACGATCGGATTTACTTGCGATCGCGGCCTAGCGCGTTACAATCGCGCAGATCGAAGGATAAAAAAAAACGCGCGTTATTTACAAAGGCATGCCGCGAAGAAGCGCGCTGTGGGAAAAACTTGATCCCACTTCCGTCGTTCATGGCCCTTTAATAAAATGAACGTATGTAGAGGCGCTCAAGCCCCGTCACTTCTTATTCGTTCTGTCATTTATTTCTTTTTGTTACGCGCGCGATGTATCCTGCGTCGTGATGGCCTTTCGCGCCGTCACGTCATCTTTGATTATCTATCGGTCAATTAACGGCGTATCTCCGGAAAATACACGTGTTCGTCGAAGGAAACAAAAACACGTCGCCTTCGTCGACGAATTAGTTTTTTTCGTCAAGTTGTGACAATTTCGAATAACACAAATTGAATAATAATACTTTGAATAATAATACTTTGAATAATAATACTTTGAATAATAATACTTTGAATAATAATATTTTAAAATTATCACATATATGTGTATATATATTTATATATTTAAGAAATATATATATATAAAGAGATTTGTTTTGATATATATATATATATATATATATAATCAATTTGCATCGCAAATCAATTTGCGTCGCAAAGTTTTTTTATTTATTTCTGCAACTCACATCTCTCACATCATTGCGATCGTGTAATCAACGATTCTTTCCGTTTTCTTATGTTCTATCAACGTCGTGACTCGCTATATGATTACGTGTTTGTGTGACACGCTTCAAATTAAATCTTATTCACGATCGGTTTGTGTTTTGTTTTTTTTTTTTAAGCAGCAATCCTTCTTTTGCGCGCGTGATTACGCGATGCATTTCCTCAGGCGCGCAATATCTCTCGCCGTCTCGTCTTCAGCTCGCGCGCGCGCAAGAGAGAGAGAGAGTTAATTATAATCCGCAGGACAATATAAAAACCAGGCAGGATGCGTTTTATTCGTCGTATATACGCCTGCCAGAAAATCTTTTGACCAGGTTTTTATTGCCGCTACCCGGCACATACAATGTTGCTCAAGGTCTATCGGATATGTTCGCGGTTCGGCACAAAGAATATACACAACACGTATATGTGTGTACAAAATGCTCCTCGTTAAGTAAGGATCACCAACTCGCGCGAAGAGAGACCGCGCGAGGACTTTGAGAACTCGCGCGCGGTTCTCGATTTCCATTATGCCGCGAATCGTGCGTGAAGTAATTTACGACGGTGCTTTTTGCCGCGAACATTGATTATAACGAGAGAATGAGACAGAGAGACTGAGAAAAGACGGAGAAAAAAAGAGATCGCCGCAGACAGACCGCAATACAGTTTGCTCGACTTCTCCACCTCCCTGTAGCGTCTGCGTTTTTCAATCATCAGCGCGCTCTCCGCGTTCTGAAATGTTCTCCAGACACGCTCTCGAACACGTTTGAGAAACTTATGCGTTTATGTACGTCGGACATTTCTCTCCGGAGCTTTCTCGCCGTAAAACACGAGACATTTGTTTGATCGGTAAAACAACTTTTTTTATTTAGAAAAAAAAAAATGAGAGCTTTTCTGACAGTTTGTGATGGTTTCAAAGCAAACTGTCAGAAAAAACTGTCACTTTGTTCGTATTTTCAGTCGAGCGAAATTATTTTACGATATAGTATTTTATATTTTACGTGATGTAGTTATTTATATGTTATGATATATATATAGTATTTTACATATGTGTGTACATGGAAATAGAAGCGATGCGATTCTTCTTTGCCACGACTGGTGATCCCGCGACCGTCACCTGTCTTTCGGGAACACTTATAATTAGTGCCAACGTTAATGACCTTACACGGGCTGTTGATTGCGTGACATGTGGGTGGCGGAACAAGAGTATAGTTACCGTTTTGCATGCCAAACACACTCTCGCCGCCGTAGTCGAGACCCACAACATGGGGCAGACACTCGCTATACGTTTTTTTAATTATTTTCTGAATTAAATGCAGACATCGTCAACTTAATTCGTGAGAATAATTAAACAATTAAGTTCCACGTCAATCTTTACCGACAAAATAATATTTTAGCGGAAAGAGGAACGCCAAATGAACGTGATAGAGAAATTTATTTGCTCTCATTGCGAATCGAGACAAGCGTTTTTTTTTTGTTTCTCTCGCAAAATGCAGCGTTCGCAAACGGCAGCCAATTGCAGCCATAATGGAGACTCTTCTTTCTTTTCCAGCTGATTCCACAAGCGAGGTTCTTCAAGGTTACGACCCGCGGTTCATGGTGGGTTGTTACTTCTCCGCGGAATTCCAGGGCGAATTCGTGACGCAGGTGAGCGGAAAGGGCGTCGGCGACATGGCGAACGAGCCCATTCAGTATTCCACCATCAACATCACCTTCAACGCGATACCGGTGTGGGGCTACTGCCACAAGAGGGTCGGCGATAACGTGCTGCTGATAGACAGGTCAGTTAACTCGACGTTAACATTTCCTTACACATCGAAGAAATATAATCGCTGATTCTGCTTTATATTGTATTTAAGTAATATTTTTAATAATCATAAAAACAAGAAATGTATAATGGCCATTTGAAGCAAAAAACACTGGTGATAATGTCTGTATGAAAGAGACATTACTTTATTCAAGCAGGCAACATAGAACGTTTTCGGTCTTAGATTAGGCCTTTATCAATATATATATAAATATGATGTTCTTGAATAAATACTTTATCGAGTCACATGATTACAATTTAGAAATATCAAAGTAACTGAATTACTTTGATATTTCTAAATATCAAAGATATTTTTAAATATCTTTGATATTTCTATTTATTCAAGAACATCATATTTATATATATATATTGATAAAGGCCTAATCTAAGGCCAAAAACGTTCTATGTGTTGCCTGCTTGAATAAAGTAATGTCTCTTTCATACACACATTATCACCAGTGTTTTTTGCTTCAAATGGCCATTATACATTTCTTGTTTTTATGAGAATTTTTTGAAGCTTGCTACACTCCTCTTCTATTTTTAATAATAATTGAGAGACTGAGAGAGAAAAAGAGAGACGTCGCGTTGAGTCGCTCTGTTTCATCAACTTTGAGATCTTCAAGACGCGAGGCGCGTTTAAGTTTAAGAAAAGTCCTCGCGCAAAAAGTCGAAACGGTCGTGTTGCGAAAGAGTTTACGGACGCGTAAAAGTGTCTCTCTCTTTCTCTCTCTCTCTCTCTCGCGACGCTATAAATATCGAAGTTTCTGATTTATACCGCGGGAAGAACCGGAGACGGCCGGAACTACCGTCCGCGAAGGACGATAAGCAAAAAAACTTTCAGAATACTTAGAAATAACGGTACAACACACATCGCACACTTGCAAACTGAGATATCACGTATCCGCGACGCTCGTCCCGCATGGTATCTAAATTGCGCGCGCGCGCGACTTTTGCTGCTTTTTACGTGAGTCTAGACACGGGAGAATGTCGGCGGATCGTTCAACGAGTAGAAAGAGGGTTCTTTCCGCCGAAGAGAGCAGAATTCGCTGACGACGACGACGACGACGACGACGACGAAGACGACGACAGCGACGACGGAGGAAAGGGGGGACATTGTCGCCGCGGAAAATGAAAAGGGTGTGAAGGGGTTAAGGTTAAATTAGTCTGCCGATGCGACTCCTCTTTCGGGGGGGTACCGCGACACGTCTGCGACTCGTCTGGCACGAAAATAAACCGAGAGAGAGAGAGAGAGAGAGAGAGAGAGAGAGAGAGAGAGAGAGAGAGAAAGAAAGAGAGAAATCCTTGTAAACAGGCGGACACACAGATATTCGCGCCGTGTCGCGTACCCCGGCTAATTCCGGAAAGAGGACGAGAAGAGCCGTAAAACGGAAATGGCGAAACGCCAAGATCCTTCTCGCGTCCCAAATCGTTATGTAGCTTCAGCGTCATCCTTTCGAAGAAAGGATCTCTCTAGATAGCTGCGGGACACGACGACTTGGAAAAAACTCAAGTTTTGCTCAAACAATTGTGTACATAAAAGCAATTTTTTTTCTTAAATTTTTTAAACAAATTATTCACAAATAAAAACGAATAAAAAATCGTCTCGCTGTTCGAGAGAATCGATTTCATCAGGTTTTTTCGCGTCTCTACAGACGATCCAAAGTTTTCGAGATCCCTCGCGTCGCGCCGATACATCGATAGTCTCTCCCCGAGACGCATCTGGACGACGTTCACGAAGTCACGTGGGTGTTGTCCGGCCAAGTATGCATAAATTGGCATACACGTTAGAGAGCCCGTCCCTTTTTCTTCATTCTCTCGTCTTCTTGTTTTTCTTCTCTAAGAAACACGATGTGGCACACATATACTTCGCGATTCGCGTTGAATCGTTAACGAGCTACCGCGTGCGCGTGCGTGCGCGCGCGCGCGCGCTGTATGAATATTACAAGAAATTCCTCTTCTCTCGTTTTTTTATTTAGTTTTCGAGAGACGCGTATTATTGTTGCGTTTTGCGTTGCGTTTTTTATTCTCGTTTATATTCTTAAACAACCGATCAAACAACTAATTCATTAACACGGCGACGTGCAATTTTTCCGTAAAGATTTATTACGAAAGATAAATCCCAATCAACTCTCTCTCTCTTGCTTCGAATGATATGTAAATGGGCGCGATTATAGCGTGTAACATGCGCATCTCACCCGGAGCGATTCCGTCGGTTGATTGCTCGAGATTTGATCGCGCGCAGCTTAATTGCCGGCTATTTTTCCGTCCTCGTATAAAACGTCGCGCGCGCGTTTAAATCGATCGATGACTATCCCTCTCTCGAGTTTTTTTTTTTTTTTTTTACGTCAAATCGCCGCAGTTACGCGCTATTCCCTTCCAACGACAGGACATTTTGCATCCAGCGCGCGAGAATCGCCCCACGGCTATTAACGATATTCGAAGTGCGTACTAATAATTTACTCTCGAGAGAAAGAGAGAGGGAAAAAGGACGACAAGCAATACTCGTAAAAGCCACGTGTGTAGAATTCGCGTTTAAATGGCTGTCCCGTTCTCGCACGCTTGCTACGAGATTTCGCATTACGTAGAGTAGAATCGCTATGTTCCCGCCGCCGTTTGTTACGGGAACTTCCTCTCTCAGGAGAAAGAGAGAGAGAGAGAGAGAGAGAGAGAGAGAGAGAGAAAGACAGAGAAGCATATAGCCGACGCAATATCGCCGCGGTTGTTGGTTAATCCGCATTTGCAAGGGTAATGGTACGCGCGACCGCACGTCTATAATTTACACTGTCATGCACCTTCCTCCCTCCTCCCTCCCCCCCCCAACATCTGAAATAAAATATATACGCAGAACTACCAGTGAGATATTTAAAATAGAGGAGACTGTGTGTAAAATGTTATTTTATCGTTGCGAACATCTGTACGAACCAAGTCCGTCGCGGTGCGAATACAAGAGGGAATATATATTTTGCGTGTACGTTAAAAATTCTATGTGAAAAGAGATAAATGTTTGATTAAAAAAATAATTCAAATTGCGAGAAGAGAGTTTCCCTCTCTTCTTCGTTACGAAGAAAAACATTCCTTTTTCGAGCGGAGATCGTAAAAATATTTATTTTAAATTCATTTGGTTATTTCGAACAATTGAAAAAAAAAAAAGTTGCGCTCTCATTTCCTTCGTCGTTTTGAAGAAAATAATTGCGTTTTCTTGCGCACATCTCGCGCTGATAATAGCCCGTCGCGATTAAGCGACGACTTTTTGCCGAACGTTCGCTCGTGAAGCGTCCGGTATAAAACGTTTGGCGTGGCAGCCGCGTAACAGTCGTTTAAACCCTCCCGTTGAAAAAACGACATCGGAAGAGGATATATATCGTCGCCGAGCTGCAAAAGCTCTCTCGCGCGCGCTCTTTGCCACGCGGGGCCCCACCTCTTCGAGAGACGATCGGATAGAACAAGAGGGTCTTTTCTGCGTTCTCTTCTGCGCGCGCGTTGTGCATACCGCATCTTTCGCCATTAATCTCCGTGAAGACGGAGGAGTGACTAGCCGAAGGTGGTTGCGGGGTCTTCTCTCCTCCAGTTTCCATGTACCACACCACCTTCGCGAGTCCCGTCGACGACGCGCACGTTGAGAGTCGACGCCACTCCTCTCCTCGTCGCGCGATCATCGCGACGAGAACGCAACGCGCGTAATTCCTCTTAAGCCGGTTTCACACACACACTCCGCATTCATCATTTGTCACTCTAATTGCGAGAGACAAGTCGGTCCGAATTCCGACAACCGTTGGCAATTGAATCGGTCGTTAGTAAAAATTTTTTTCCGCACACTTTGTCGGCAGTTGTCGACGAGAGGATGTTAAGTAAGTAAGCGAGTTCTTCTTCGCACGTTGAATCTCACACATCACGATTGCGATTTTCGCGATCGCATATATCGCTTATATTCTCATTCGTTCGTTCACCTCGACGCGATTTTTGTCGCTCTCGTGCGAGACAAGCTTTAGACAATTGCGCGCAATGTCGTTATGCAAATTCATGATTTCAGTTTGCAATTTACATTTCGGATCAGTGGGATATCGGATGATGATGACAGAGCTTCGGCAGAGAGCGAATGGAATTCCGATCCGTAATTTGATAGGTGGCGTGGTATGGAGATCGGACGAAGAAAAAAAATTGCGGAACGAGCAAAGTTGTAAAGTGTACAAACGTCTAACGAAGTAAATAACGAACGACCCGCGCGAATCCCCCCATCGAGCGTTGCCACGTAACTCGAGCTCGTTTCGAGCGAACTATTCAAAGCGTAACTTATTATCCCGAATCCAAATTAATTGCGCGCGTGGAACAAAAACCAATCGTGTAACATTTGGCGCCGAGGCGAACCACGTATATACCTGCGCAGACGGTTTTCAAACCGAGTTGCTCTGTTAAAGCCGTTTACACGGCCGAGTACTGGGATCCTATATATGGCAGGTGACCGGTGACCACACGCGACTACGGTAAATGGAGGAGGAACCCACACACGTCGCTTGTCCGCGCGAGTTGCATAATATCGGCGCGACATGTGTGCATACTTTTTATGATACAAAGGGCGTTCTTCAGAAATTTGATTATAGAGGCAATACCGATGGATATTGCAGTTAGAAATTATCTGCGCTGGTATATATATGACGCGTATATAAACCACCTCGTGTCGTTGAGAGATATCGTCGAGTTGATTCACATTCCAATATCACATCGCTGCGCTCTTGCGTGCTGTTTCAAAAAATCGATAAAATTATCAGCAACAAGTAAGCGGTGCAAGAAGAAATGTGTTCTACATAAAAGTGGAGGAAATTTCTCATCACAAATTGATATTTGTTATAACAAACATATAAACATTTGTATTTTTATATATAAACATTTTTTTCCTCAACTACTTTCAATCAACTTGACGCAACAACTGAAGAGCGTTGGCTCTAATTGGTCTTTTTTTATTGATAATTCTTTTTAATTATTAATTTTTATTTTTTTTTTTATGTAATATTGAGGCGCGTGCAACATTCCGACGCTTAAACCCTTTAGAACGCGTATATCCTCGAACGCAACATCTATGTAGTTAACCTAATGGCCTAATGGCTCGCAATTATTTAAATAACGCATTTACCACGACGGTGATTTTGTTGAGCGAATATGTACGGCACACACACACACACACACACACGGCGGATGTACTGTTAGACACAAATGAAAACTTCTCTCGCAATCATTCACTGCCATTTTCGTAATTGTGTGTGAAAACCGAATATAGATAACGGCCGTGATAGCGCACAAAGCGCGTGTGCACGGTATTCCCATGATCTTGCACAAAAGTTGTTTTCACGCAACACGAAATTTTCCCAGATGCTCGCGGCGCGAGCCATAACGCATTACTCACTCAGTCGTTTTCTCCGGCTTTATTCCGGCTTTTCTTTTCTTTGTCTTATAAATCTAGGTTTAAACATTATCTCTTTAGAGCCAATATCCGCGGTCAAAGATAAAACGTTGACGATGTGATTTCAGAGTGATTTATATCTCTCAAACAACTTCGACCAACTATACACGGCCGGGCGAGTCTTAACTCTATAATATATTTTAAACATATCACTTCGTATACCGCGGCGAAATTTCTTCTGACTCGAGAAATACATCGCGTGTGTGTGTTGCTACACGGCGAGTCGTTGACGTCGCTCGAGGAAAGAGAACAAGAATTCACGATGCTTCTTCTTGCTTCTTCTCTTGCAATTGTCATTGCTGCACTTCCTGCGCCTGGGCAAGCAGCGTGTTAATTCGCGAGATGCTCGTCACACGAGGACGTTAAAAAAAAAAAAAAAAAAAAAAAAAAAAAAACGCGTTCTATCCCACCGCTATTGTGCGATACAGCCAGCGCTCGCGAGAGAACTACAAACAGAGCTCAGAGAGAATGAGCGCAAAAACACACATAGTAAAAAAATTTTAACATATGCGATTGATTTGCTTTACGTGATTTTTTTTTTTTTTTTTAAAAAAAAACGTAATTTAAATGCGCGCTTGTTTCAGAAACGGCGACAAAGACTGCATCAGGTGTTTCCGGCTGATGCGAAGGACGCGGAACGTTATCGAGGTGTTCTCGGAAGCTCTCAACAAGTGTTACCTATTCGAGTCGGCTGCCTTGGCCTCCTGCGACACACTGAACTCCACCTCGATGCTGTACCGTAAGTAGAAAAGCCGGATTTCTCTCGATAATCGCGGAGACCGCAACCTGTGACGCGCGGAGCTTTAATGCGAGACATACTTATGATAATGAACACCGACCTTACACGGAAAATGTGCGCGCAGGTTTGATCTCTCTCGATAATCGCGTTTTCTCACGGTTCTAAACTACTTAAATCATTCTTCATGCGAACTAACGCGCGCGAGCGCATTTTTTTTTTTTTTTTTTTTTTTTGCATCTATTGAGCAAACTGCGGTTTCAGAGCGATTGATATTTATCTCGCCGAAGACGTAAAATCAATGCGGAGCGAGCAGATAAAAAGGTGCTTGAGAAATCGTTTATATTGACAATATTTAACTCTCCGTCTGGGGATTTCAGTTCCCCGAGAACAATTTCTTTGTTCGAGTTCTTTCTTTCGATTTTTATTTTTTATTTATTTATTTTTTTTTGTTGCAAAAGAATTTGAATATTTCGTTCAAGTGTCGCTTCCACAGTAAAGTGGAGACCTTATAAAGTATTTCAGAATTTTCTAAGATTTTTTTTAAAGCCTGCAACAGTAAGAAAATAGAGTTTCTCAGACCCGGTTATGCAGACGACGTTAGTAAAAAAAAAAAAAACCACATTGCAAACGGAGAAAGTTAAAAATATGAATTCTGTTAAAAAAAATAATCTAAAACCATTACTTCTATGTCAAATAAACAACTGTGTATTAATTGGCATTGTAGCGCTCATACATTCGCGCCTGTGTCGTATTTATTAGTTTCCTTAATGAAGATCACACGCTGATGAGCATCGATTCCTTCGTATGCTTCCGGTGTATTATCACGCGGATTCACCTGTGGCAGCTCCCAGAGGAATCTGCACCTGTCGTCGCACCCCACAATCGAGACGACCGGCGCGACGGCGCGCCGATTCTCAGTCTCAATTCCACTCGGGTAATCCCGGTTTCACGCTTTGATCCGTGTCGCTGCACGCGATGATCTTCACGGGAACCGAAAACGCGGATCGGTGGTCCGGCGGAAGAACGTAATAGAACGTCCGTGCGTAAACTGTTTCAGCGAATCATCTCGGGGTTCTGAGAAAGAAAGGGAGAGAAATCAGAGACAATTCGTCGCGTGCAAAAAAAAAAAAAAAAAGGCCAAATTGACGGCGAGCGATCAACGTCGACGTGTGAACAGCTCGCATCCGGCGAAATTTGTTGCAAATACGGCAGTTTCGATCTCTTTTTGAGTTCCGAAAAAGAGCAGTTGAGATTGATCGAGCGAACATATTATACAGAAAAAAAAGACTGCAACAATTATTTTGTAAATAATTTGTTCGAATTGTTTTGTTTAAATTTTTACTAATAAAAAGTTTTCTCTCATTACTATCTGAAGAAAAGAAGATATTTAAGAGAAAGATAGAGAGAAATGATAATTGATGCTATTTATTGTTTGACATTTTTCTTTCTTTTCTGTTTTTTGTTCGGTAAACAAGGGACCGGTTTAAAAAGAGAAGTGTGTTTCTCAAAAGAAAAAAAAGACCGAGTTTCGTCAGAACGCGCGCGACCTACCACATTCCCATTCGTTCTTTCTTGCCGTGTTTCCATTCCCGTTTTCTTTGTTTTCCTAGTTTATGGTCCACGCAATTTATCGTCAGCTATTCTTCGGAAGCGTAAAAGTGACAGCTTTCGAAAGCTCCTCGTTTCACTTTGTGTTGCCGTAAAAATCAAACGTCGCACAAAGCTTTACACAAAGTGCTGATGGTAAACCTTGTAACCGAAAAGAATTAACTTGCATTCTATTGTTTCTTTAACAGGAACGAAAGAAATTGGCGGTACGGCGATCCGGAACGAGTACTGTCCTATCGCCGGTCTGTATCATTTCAAATACGACATTAAAAATGGAACCGACACGTCAGTCGAATGCAACACGTTCTCCTCCGAGTACCACAATTGTCCAGATGGTTCAATTTTAAATTTCAATTTTAAACGATGCAACTTCGAAGCGAGCAGTAAGTTCATATATTGAAAAACATATGTATTTTTATATTTTTGAAGATTTAAATTTACGTAAAAGTAAATGCGCGCGTGTGTGTGTGTGAGAAAGGAGTTGGAAAAATTAGTTTCGTTGGAATATGTGCTTGTTAATTTGAATTATCGTCAAAATTGTTGAAATGTATGTACTTCCAATTTTTTTCTCGTGCAGATCTCACATACAATTGTTTGGGCAGCTGGCCGGGTCCGAACGGTTCTAATTATATTGTTCTTTGGGACAAAGACGCTGACGATAGCAGACCTCAATACAGATGCGGAGTACGTTACACAATAATTCATAAGTTTTTGACTTAAATTAATAAGATGAGATAAAGACGTGTCAGCTCGCGTCTAATGCATACACAAAAACGAACAATATAAAAATTAATTTTTCAATCCATTTTTTTAATATGTGTGCAATGAAATCTATATATATGTCATTCGATATTAAAAAAAGTTTAACGTATTTTTTTTCTATACAAAATATATCCTAATAACGAGCATTAAACGAATGAGTGATAAATTTTCCAGCTATTCCACGTTGATAATAAAACGGGAAAAACTTACATGGCGCTCAGCAGTGACTCGAGTTGTACGCAGAATTTAGATAATTCGTCCAGCGGATACGAGACTTTTATTCTGAGCAAAACCCCAAATCAGAAGAGCGTGCCAGATTACGTGCAGACTCACGTCGCGACGTGAGTACATTAGTTTTTATACGATATAACTGAATTATAAGTCAGACACAATTTTTTATCAATATTAAAAGCGCGTTTTTTTTTAAAAACTGTAAAACACTTGTAATAATCAAATCTCCATTAAATAAATGAAATAACAGATTCCCGAAATGGGCCCAAGGATTGTGGGAGGAATCTCTTATAGTTAATGGAACCATGACTTTTACCGATCTCAACGGTTACAATAGTTACACCTTCATCACGGTGGAATCAAACTTCGAGACTGGCCGATACATAGTGTACTCCAGAGATCAATGGTAAGTAGGTGCAATTTGTGATTTTTATTAAATACATTCTATATCGAGAGAGAAAAGAAAGTGAAAAATTAAAATACGAAAAAACTGAAAATCTATTAAACATTGTCACAACATTCTTCTGAGTTTTAAAAATTATTCCTATTTTTCTGGGTTGCAAAATTGAAATAAGTAAAAAGAACGTTTAATTTTTGAATTACAGCGAGCAGTCCGCTTTTGTGTGCTTACTGATGAGGCAACGTAGCGAAAATGTATTGGAATTTACAATAGGTAAACTTATTAGGCGATAGGTGAATTTTTTTTTTTTTTTTTTGTCTACTTATTAATTTACTTACATCAGATGTCATCATTGTTATTACGCAAAAAATAATTTCGCTCGATAGGAATGGTCTTGAGTCCAATATATCAACCCTTGTTGTGCGACGATCGCAATCTGGACGAACCGGTGTGGATGACCCAATCACGTGAGTTAAAACAGACACGTACATATTTAATACAGTCACTTCATTATCATAATTCTAAAATAATATATATATATATATACTAACACTTACAATTATTTGTAAGATGCACATGTTTCTATTTAATGTGTTTACACAGAGCAAAAAATCTTTTTTTTTTTAATCAGGTATCGAACGCCTGGTGGAGTCGCCCTGTCCAATCACGGGTCAGTACATGGGAATGATAACAGATCTGTCGGGAATGTGCGCGGAATTGAGCAGCAACTGCAACACTCGCGAAATAATGTATTTCAAAGTCAGCGATTGCGAGTCCGGCGAGCTCTATGAAGGTAATATACACACGCGTAATAAAATTATAAAATACAAACGTAACATTTGTGATTGACAATTTACAGATAAAAGAGAGCATTTCTGTCTTTGTACACATAACTTTTTTGAGCGTTTGTTCGTTGTTTTTTCAGAACGCACGTATCTTTGCCTGGGACAGTGGGAAGAAAAAGGCGTGATGTATACGTACACCATGAGAAACGACACCGGTACGAACGAGTGCTTCGTAGGTTTGATCGTTAACGACGAGGAGATATACATCAAAGAAGCTGGCGATCATTGCATACGTAACATAGATCCTAAAACGCAGGGCATGCGTCTCTACAAAAAAGGTAAGTAGGTTGATTTTTTTATAAACTTTTACTTGATATATGTTTTTATTTCTCTATATTTGTGAAAATACGCGTTGCCAACATAGGAAGTAGGTAGATTTTTCCAATTATCGCGACAGCAACAAATAGCGCACGATTTTTATATTGCGATACATATTGTCTGATTTCAGGACAATGTTACGGCTGCTCGGCAAGTCCCGCGCCAATTCCAATGAAACCGATTCCTCACAATCCAATAATGAGGATCTCGACCACTCCGCGACCAAAGACAGGTAAAGAGAGACTTTATATATATATATTTTTTTTTTACATTAAAGATACGTATATAATGTAATTAGTTGTTTAACAATTTTATAATCTCTCGACAGATAACACTCGAGGGTCAGGAAGTGCGGTTTCCTCGTCAACACGTTGCAGATCGATCGATCTTGTGCTTTCCGTCATTGCGTTCGTCACGTTGCGCGTAACATTTTTATCGTACGCGCTCGAATAATGATACCGTCAATTGCGCTCGATTATAGTCTAGTAACTATATAGTTAATGAACAATACTGCCACTTTTTGGTGCGTATAGTTTGCTGTATTTTTGTTATTTACATCCGACAGATGACGAAGACGTACGAATATTTATTGCGAAATCGCGCGTTTTAGAAAAATATTGTAGAAATTTATAGAAAACTATACTGTATTTTTTCAACTCGTATGCTACTCCGCCCACGCCGCGTTGTACAAAACGAATCTTCCAGAAGAAAAAGGAAAACAAGCAAACAAATACGTATTTACAAAAACTACTATGGAGCTGTATATTATAAACACTTGGCTGACGAGATAAAGTTGTGATTGCTTCGTATGATAAAATAGAGAGATATTTAGTTTTTATAAACGCGTTGTATAAAACTCACACAGTCATGTTTACACACTGCCTTGTGGGATACAGATATTGACACACAAGACTGTTTATATACATTACTACGGAAATCCAAAGAACCGCTACTTTTACATACCGATTCTTCTAGTGACTTTTATACACAACGAACACATCACACAGAGAGACACGACATAAAGATATATAGAACGCTTATTATATAACGACAGTTATGTAAACTTATTTAACTGTCGCGTTAAATAAGTGTGTCTGTATACTTTTTCTTATTGCTCAGCAACGAGTTATTTGCTGATAAAAAATCTCGAAGAAACTGACCGCAATGTTATTTTATAAATAAAATTGTGTACAAAGTTTTATTTTATTTAATAAAAAATAAAATAAAGTTTGTTTAATACATTTTATTTAATAAAATAAAATTTTTGATAAATTGTTTTGATCTTATTCTAAACGGACTCTTTATCTCCACAAAGATTTTAATTTTTAATCACTAATACGTATGTGTACGTACATGCGTTTTTTTTTTAATTCAAAATAGGACTCAAGTGCCTCTCTGTTTATAAGATGATAATATTTCTTATGATAGTACACAACAGCAGCAAGATATTCTTTTTTTTTTTTAATACTTGTAGAACCGAAAAACAGCTGTGAGTACATACAATCTGATTAGACGAATATTATAAATTACATATTTACATATGTAAGACTGACATAACATTAATTTTTGTAATATGATTTCTGTATGATCTGATTTCTAATTTCTTTTATTTTTCATTAAGAACAAAAGGTCTTTTTTAATATAAAAAAAACGTATTTCTTTGCGAAAAATACGTACATATCAATATAAAAAAATTAGTGATGAACTTCATCAATAAGGAAATAAAAGTTTTGATGTATACAAGCGAGCTAAGAAAACACATTTGTAACAAATATGTAAAAACAGTCTCATTTTTTGTCATTTTAGAATTGTAACGTGTTGTGTACGTGTGATTTTTACTGTGTTTAATAGATTAATGTGCAAAATGGAGAGAGAAAGAGAGAGAGAGTGAGAAATGTAATATAAAGCCATTTACAAACAATGGAAATGTACATGTAAACTTGTTGATTATTTAATATTAATAATGGAATAACATATTTACTACGTTTTCTTAACTATGTGTGAAAAACTTGTACAGAAAAACTTTATAATTACCTATATATACACTTGCATTAAAAGCACATGATTTTACATCTATATATAATTTTTTTTATATTTATATAAGTCGTATTCAGTCCTACAAGTAAAGACGAATAATTGTATAAAAACTAATAAGCAATAATAAAATATGTAGTATATATATGTATTACAAATTATTTGAAATACAGTTAAAAATTAAAAACAAAGTTGAAACAAAAGTTGTAACAAAGTTACAACGTATTTGTGCCGATACAAATTGTTTCAAAATTACGATTTTGAGGCACAACTTTCAAAAGCCATATGCAAAACTATTTCATTTTTAATGGAAATAGTTATTACCTAGTTTTCATTTAAAAAAGTATGTAAACTTACATGTTTAACAACAAAAAAGCTTAGTTTCTCTCTCGTTATTATTAGTTATATTTATACTATTCTTATTTATGGGAAGCAATTGGGTACCAGTATGAAGTAACGTTAGCAAAATATAGAGAATGCAACTTTGCGCAAGGATATTGTGAGAATTGTGTAACTCTCTAAGGAGAAAATCAATACTTACTTAGATTTTACTCTTATTTTATAAATTTATTTTTTAATCTGATTATCTTAAGGTAACGTAACTTACTAAGATTACATAGTTGATTAGCGTATAAAAATATGTTGTAAAAATTGTACATATGTGACAACAATCATTTATCTTCTCTCGAATAAGCATTTGGAATGTAGTAAGTTTTAAGATGTAGTAAATCTCTCTGTATTTTATCTTACTCATTGAAAAAACAAAAAAACGATTTTGTACTTTTGGAACGTAGTAAATTTTAAGATGTAGAAAATCTCTCTGTATTTTATCTTACTGATTTAAAAAAAAAAACGATTTTGTACTTTTACATGACTAAGTGTATATGTGAAAATAAACCTAAATAATAAGAACTTATCTTTTACAACTTATTCTCAAGTTGTTAAAAAAAAAAATAATTAAAAATAAATAATGCTGATTAATCACACATACACACGTAAATATTTTAGCTAAACAGAAACAAAACATATATCGTAGAAACATATATACAGAGAGCAATTTAATTTTTATAGTCTTTTGCATCAAGCATGTCGATTTCGTATTGTTGGATGGCTTTCTTTCGTTGCTCACCCCAACCATACTTGTCGATGCCACATTTATGTCTCACACGATGGCACGGCACCAGATACCCGATATTGTTTCCAGCAACTGCATTTCCTACCGCACGCACAGCTTTCGGATGATCTATCATTCGCGCGATATCTTCATACGTGGCGAATGTTCCAGGAGATACATCTAGAAGAGATTTCCATACCTTGATTTGAAACTCCGTGCCCAACGCAAGGACGGAAACGGACTCAAGCTGAGACATGTCGGAATAAAAGATTTTCTCAATAATTCTTAACGTTTTATTCTCGATATCTTCTACTGTCTCAGTCATTCGCCATTTCGTTCGCAGAATTTCCAAGGCTTTCTGCTTCTTCGTAGCTTCTTCGTTCTCGTCGACGAATGCTAGATATGCCACATCCTCGTCGACGTCGGTTATAGCGATGAGACATTTCCCAAAGGGTGTCTGACGGAACGCGTACAACAGATTAAACGGTTTGTAATTATTGCGAAGATATTCATTGATTTGTACGCTTCGAAATATAACCATGATTGCCGCGACGTAGTAGCAGTTGGTTTGGCTAGTGGACTATCAAGAGGCACGGTAGTGCCTCGCGCCAAGTTCACGCGCAACGAAGTGGCGCTCGAACTGCGCGAGCACACCGTGCCTCTTATACGCGAGATTCAGGCAATTCAGTGGAGGGGAAATTTGTAATCAGTCATTTCTTAACAAC